TCTGTTTTTGTGGCAAAAGGCTTTTGCCAGAAGAGCTGGAGCAGTTAGAAATGAGAGGGGCAAGAGAAAGGAGCTGTCTCCTCAAGATGCAGCTTTGATGATCCAAGTGACATTTAGAGCTTATCTGATTCGTAGATCAAAGGCTCTTCGTTCCCTTAGGGACCTTGCAGTTGCCAAGACTAAGCTTAAGGAGATCAGAGCATTGTTCAACAATTTCTCTTATCGGGGTCGTGTGGCCCGTGAGCCAGATGAGCGTCAAAGGTTTTCCGAGAAAATCATTGTCCTCCTCCTCACTGTTGATGCCATTGAGGTATGATCTCTCACCGTAAGCTCTATTTATTCTTTTATGACATAAATTATTCTTTCCTATCCAAATAGAGGATTTAGATTTGGACAATCATGTTCCCTAATGCTAATAAAGATAAATTTTATAACATCAATTAACCTTATACTTTTATGAAAGTGTAATCTCTAACATGTCCAATGTCCATAGATAATGGAAGTGGTGGATTGTGGATTTATGCATCTCATTTATTCTTAATTGAATGTCTGAATTGATGCACATTTATAGACACGAATGCTGTTTCTGAATGGAAATGTGCGTCATATATCGGCATATAGGTTTTAACACACCACAATATTAATATGCTCTTGTGCCATATTTATTAGGGATCTGATCTTATGGTGCGAACAGCAAAGAAATCCATGGTGGATGAACTGGAAGCAATGCTTGACGTGGTGGATCCGCAGCCTCCTGGAAAATCACTTTCTATGAAGAGAAGGACGTTTGACATGCCTGATGGTGTGATCCAGAAGGAAATTGCAGAGGGTGTGGCTCAATTTGTTCAGATGCTTGACGGTAGTTCAGATGCTTGAAACTGGAGACTAGCACGTTTGAGGCATGCTTGTAAGTTATAATGATATTGTGTTTTAAGGCATCGGTGTATCGCCATTTTTCTATGGGTTACCTGTTGTTCTAAATGTTGTTGTTCTGGAAATGCATCTAAGTTCGAACTGCATTGGTAAGTTTGCTCCATCGTCTATCTAAATAGAGTTGTACTTATCAGATTGTGCTTAAACTTTGTGTTTTCACGCGCTGATTTCTTGTGTTTAAACACCATAAACATGTCACGCATGGAACTATTATAGGACACTGGATAGGAGAGTAATAAAAAGTAAAAGAAAATATTCATGCTCTTACAATTGAACTTGAAAGTAAACACATAATTGCTATTCCATTTATGGTAAAACAAACAAAATATGGTATTAACTAAATAATAAAAAAATCTGGCATTGTGTTCAGCCCCATCAATAAACATTTTGAGAACATGTTCTTGCTTTTACAAGTGAACTTAAAAGAAAACACGTAATTGCTACTTCCGTTAATTGAAAGCGGCATTTATACCTCGCAGTTATTAATGGTAATCCTAAAAGGATTTTGATTATCAAAAAAAAAAAGAAAAAAGAAAAAAATTCTCCTTAGTCTAAAATTGAAATTCTACCATAATACAATCTTTCAGTTCATGCGTGACGGGAACCTTTTAGTGGGCCGGTGTGAAGGAGAAAAACAAAAATATGAGGTGTTGGATTGAGGTTTTGTTTGATTGAATATCTGATGGATTTTTAAGTTGCTGGCCTAAAAAATACCCAAATGGAAGATAATGGGCCTCAGGCCTTGATTGAGCGTGAATGGTCAAGCCCAAATTCATATATATATATATATATATATTTTTTTTTTCTGTTAAGTAGTGGTCCTAACCCACTACCTTGGGATTTTATGATTTTGTTCTTAATTTATACTGCCTTATTTTGTCCACCTTCTGGTTTTTGGTGCTTTTGAGCAATTATAAGTAATAGTTTTGCCCCCAAAAAAATAATAGAAAGGAAATTAATTTATTTATAGTCAAAGGCCCAGCTCATTCTTTCTTAGGGTATGAACTTTTCATTTTATTGTCTTTGGATTAAGTTCACAAACATTTAGTTGCCAATTTTTTTGTTATTTTTATTTTAGTTTTTGCTTCTTCTTTTTTTAATGCTGTTCTCTTTTTGTTCTTAATTTAAAATTTTTTTATTATATTTTTTTTATATTTATCTCATTTTGTTATACATATTTATCAGTATATAAATATTAAAAAATATCTTTGTTGTAAAAAAGGACAAATATTATTGTAAAAAAAGGAAAAAAAATGAAGTTAAAAACGAATTACTCCTATATCAATAGGTACTTTAACTTGTCAACAACTTTTAATCCTACTTCATTATTTTTTTTTTTTTTGATTTTTTTTTTTATATCTTTATCCGTTCTAAAATTACTTTGTTTTCCTTATCTCAAAATTTCAACATGTAAATTAACTTAACATGCCCGTCTTTTTTGTGTTCAAAAGCTTTTGAGACTTTTTTATTGTATGTGTGAGTTAAAAGAAATAAAAAAGAGTGAAAACTTTTGTTTTTTAACTAATCAAATTATGACGTTTAAAAAGCTAATTCTTCTTAAAATTTATTAAAAAGTTACTGATTTTGAAGACGACAGTTACTTTAAAAGCTAATTTTTTAATTTTTCTCTTAACAATTTTTTTAATTAGTAAGGAAAAATTTTGTTTAAAATAAATTTGCTTTTAAGCTCTTCCAAACATCATTTATGTTTCACATAATTCACTAATTACTTTGCAATAACATACCTTTAATTAAACTAAAAAGGTGAGTTTAACATAATGAATATGAAAACAAAACTAAACAAAGTTGATTCACCCATTTCAAACTAGCACTTCTAACTCAATGATTAAATAGGTCTATCAATCTAAATCTCTCCCCTATAAATGAACATGATACTTTGAGAATTTGAGAGTAAGTATACAGTCATCCTTTTTTAAAACCAGTTTACCTCAAAATTTAATAAATGAAGGGGAAACATGAACCACTAACTAGTATGAAATCTGAACCACAACCTAAAAACCACAAGGATTTGCAGTGCGTTCTGTGCCATGGCCTTGCCTACATCGATGTCGATTCATTGGTCTGAAAGGGTTTTACATAACGCAAGAGATGACGACAATAACAATGATAATAATCAATGCGCCACACACAAAGCCGATGCTCTGATGTGCATCCAAATGTGCGAAAACTTTTTTATTTTCTTGCAGAATAATTTAGAAATAATTTTTTATATTATTTTTTCATAAATAATTGATTTTTTTTATTTATTTGAAATTCAAGATATTAAATATATTAATTTATTTAATAATATGTAAACATTATATACAAAATTTATTTTTATATTATCACCATTTCTTCTCTTTTTATTACTTAATGACGATTACGGAAGGAAACATAATTAATTGAGAAACTAGCTAGC